AATATAAACAAAACAGACTAGTCAGATAGTGTTAGCTTAGGTGGGCCATCAAATTACCAAGTGCTACTGCAGACAGATAATGGAGGCAATGTTTGGAAAGTTACTTAGTAAATGTTGAGCTAAAGAAAATGATAAGTTGTGTTACACACAGACAATTAAGCATTTTAAGATAGACGTGACTCATCTCTTGATGGTCTGCCATGCCTTCCTAGCTTTGACCATGTTTAGACCAAGCTCAAGTCCGCAGACGCTTCTTCTTCCGCCTTTCTTCTAAAGCCGGTCAATCACAGAAGACAGGGACCTAAACCAATCATATGTATTAACAGAAACCCCAACCTGGATTCGCCCACCTTCTGCCAAAAGTAACTGGCGAGCGAGCAGCGGACGAAGCTCGCGCGAGGGGGCTTGCCAACGGCTCGCGCGAGGATAATGGTGTGCGCGCGCGCGGAGCGTTCAATCCCCTCTCGCACGGATGTGAAAAGGCGCGCACAGGATTTAAATTTGCATGTGCAAAATGTCGTTGCGCGCGCGAAATGTTGTTTTTTCTCGCGAGAGTTCTGGCATTATTCTGCCACCATATTCCCATGGGTCAGAGCTGGCGTGAGGCACCGCACATTTTCACCTCAAGTTTGGATTTTATAAATCACAACCTTGGCGTGAAAAGTGGTGTACGCAAGTTTCTGAGCTCGTATTGTGCGTACGCCTGTTTTATAAATCCAACCCCAGGTCTGCTGCCTTTAAGAACAGTAATATTCCAATAGTCAAATATTTGAAAATAAAAAATAACAAATAAACAAAAATGTCTAAATACAAATTGCATCTTTAAATATTCATGTTTGTTTTTGGTTTTGAACTAAAACAGTCATCACTGAATTAACTATATTACAAAATAATATTATCAGTTCCATTTTTCATTTGGACCTTTGCAGAAATAATAACAAACTAAAAAGATGTTTCTACATTTGGTCAGTTGGTAACAACAATGATAGCTACACACTGTCATCTCTCTTCTAATGCCAGAAGACAGCATGTCAAAAATAATGTTTWTATGTGTCTCTACCTCATTTAGGAGCATCTCAAATTCATATTCCCTGAAGTTTCTTCTCCTCCTGCATGTAGATATAGATTTTGAATGTGCAGAAACAAGAMTCTTGTAGAGCAGAGGTGCCCAAAGTGAGCAGGACTGGCCACAAACACTAATTTGATCAATTTATGAAATTTCCCATGAGGCTTTGCTGCCCGAGCATGCACCAAATTTTCTCCAAGAGCACAGTAAAAAAAAAAAAAACTAACAAAAAATATGTTTGCTAGCTTTATCATTAAAAAAGGACATTCATAAAAAATATTTGTATTTAATGTATTTCTTTATTGCATTTGGCCCTCAGCCCTCGAATAGATTATTAGTGTGGCCCTTTTGAGGGAAACGTGTGGGCACCCCTTACAGAGAGCATATTTGCATATTTAAACGGAGGYGTGTCAGGATTGATCAGGATGGACAAAAATAAAATACTTGGATTTATGTTTCCTTGCARTTTCATGAGTCTGGATGTTTTTGTTTGTTTTTTATTTTAAGTGGACGCTGAGTTTTTATGCTGTGAAAAAAATCCATGCTAGTCTTTATACATGAGGACCAAGAAGTCTTTAAATACGTTCACTTCCCTTCATGTGTTGAACTATCATAACTTTGATTACACCAGTTATTTCTGAACAGGAACACAAAATGTTTGATAGTAGAGGTAATGTGGCTATAGCTTTTGTCTGTGGTTCTTTGCAGAGTGGAAAGGAAAGAACGCGCCCGACTGAAGACAGTGAAATTTAATGCCAAACCAGGCTCATCTGATTCAAAAGGGGTAAGTACATTTTTAAAAATTAAAAGCATTAAATAATTATTTTAATGCAGAACAGATTTCTATTGTGTAAATAACTCACGATAACTCTTTTCAAAAGTTGTACTTTTGTGAAAATGTTTTGATAACAATTCTTAACATGTAGTTTGGGAAACATGTTATATTAAAATGCATATAGATTATCTATGGTTGCAGACAGAGAAAAATACTGTGCATGCTTATTTATATATTTACAGTCCCCTCCATAACTATTGGAACAAGTCAAATTGTCTTGTTTTTGTTGTAAACTGAAGACATTTGGGTTTAAAATCAAAACATGAGACAAGAGTTCAGAATGTCAGCTTTTATTTCCTGGTATTTACATGTAGATTTGTTAAACAACTTAGGACATATCACTGTTTGTATTACACCACAGCATTTTCAGGTGAGCAAAAGTAAAAGAAAAAATTATCTTAAAGTAATTAACATTTAATATTTGGTGGTATAACCCTTCATGCAATAACTCCCTCAAGCCTGGGACCCATCAACACAAAGCTGTTTATTCTTCATCAGCGATTCTGTTCCAGGCTTTTACCACAGTAAAGCTGTGAGGCTTTCCTTCATGTGTTCAATACTTTTTCCATGTGCAGTTCTTGTTTGTTGGGGGGTTGTCCCTTCAGTCTTCTCTTCAGGGGGTGAAATGCTCTGTTGGGTTCAGGCCAGGTTGACTTGGCCAATCTAAACCCTGATGAAGTCTTTAGTTTTGTTGACACTGTACTTTGGCTCATGTTCTTGCTGCATGATAAAATTACATCTCATTAGTTCAGATGTATTTCTCTGTAATTTGTCAGACAAAATGTTTCTGTCCACTTCAGAATTCATTCTGCTGCTATCATCATCAGTTCCATCATCAATAAATATTAATGAGGCTGCTCCAGAAGCAGCCCTGACTTTACCTGCACCATGCTTCACTGATGAGCTTGTGTGCTTCAGATCATCAGCAGTTCCTTTCTTTCTCTACACTTTGGTAGAGATTAATCTTGGTCTCATCAGTCCATAAGATGATCTTCCAGAACTTTTTCAGCTCATCTCTGTACTTCTTTGTAAATTTCAATCTGGCCTTCTGATTCTCATTACTGATGAGTGGTTTGTATCTTTGTGTATGGCCTGTATATTTCTGCTCTCTGAGTCTTCTTCCAACAGTGGATTGTGAGACCTTCACCCCTGCACTGTGGAGGTTGTTGGTGATGTCACTTACTGATWTTTTCACATCTCTCAAAATATTTCTGTCATCGTCTCCTGTTGTTTTCCTTGGCCGACCTGTTGGTCGTGTGCTTCTCAGAACACCAGTAGTTTCTTATTTATTCAGGACATTATAAATTGTTGTGTTGCTATGTCCAATGTTTGTCCAATGGCTCTGATTGATTTTCCTTCATTTCTCAGCTTTTCTCCCACGGACAGCTCTCTGGTCTTCATGTTGGTTTATCTTCTTTTACAAGAAAAACCTACGGTACTTTAAAGGTTTAAACCCAGAACAAAAAGTAGACTAGTCTTTCAGAACTATTTAATGTTTTAACCATCAACCTTAAAGGCAACACCTGGTCAATAAGAAACACCTGTCAGTCACATGTTCTAATGATTTTGCTCACTTAAAAATGGGTGGATTCAGACAAAGGGTGGTTCTGAGTTGTTTAACACATCTACACGTAAATACTAGGGAAAAAAGCTGACATTAAGAACTCTTGTCTCATCTTTTGATCTTAAACCCAAATATCTTCAGCGAATAACAAAAACGAAAGAATTTGACTTGTTATTCCAATGCTTTTGAAGAGGACTGTTTGTGTTTGATGAACCAAACTTTTGAAATGTGTAAAGTCTATAACACTCCAGTGATGTAACRATGCATGTATTTGTACCATGACATTTTGTTACAGATGTTTGGGATGAGTACATCAAAAACCACATGACAAAACACAAGTTTGTTTAATGGCATTTTGTTAATTGCCTTGACAGAAAAGAAGTGGCACATACAATCTAAAGACAACATCCAGCAAAGCATGGTTGGTTCAAAATTACAAGCAAAAATTAAAAGAGTTGCTTATATAAATAGCAAGTTGTGTCATAGAATCAGTGCTATTAGAGCAAGCCATTTACAGCGGGTAAAATAAGTATTGAACACTTCACCATTTTTCTCAGTAAATATATTACTAGAGGTGCTAATGACATGAAATTTTCACCAGATGTCGGTAACAACCCAAGTGATCCATACATACAAAGAAATATGTAAGGGTCAGCTTACACTTCTTATAACAATGTTATAAGAGTAATTTAATTAGCAAGGATCTCTTTTAATG